ATTTGAAGTTTGAAAAAAACTGCTATAAAACCGGAATGTTTTCATTTCCGTAAATGTGGAATGGGGAAAAAAAAAGGAAAACGAAAAGGAAAAGGAAAACTAATTTTCATTTTTTTTTTTTTTTGAAATACCTTTTAATTATCTTACCACCTTTTTTGATTTTTGATTTTGAACTCATAAATGAGAGTTAAACAATTTTATTGCACAATTGAGCAAAGTACTTACTTTTCGAGAATGTTCATTTTCGTTTTTATTTTTTTACATTTTCAAATCCTTCCTACCTGTCCATATATTTCCATAACATTTCCCCCCCCCCGCACTCTCTCGATTTCTTCTATCTTCTACACTATCCCCGCACTCTCCCAATTTCTTCTATCTTCTATAATATCCCCACAGTCTCTCGATTTCTTCTATCTTCTACACTACCCCCCCCGCATTCTCCCAATTTCTTCTATCTTCTACATTATCCTCGCACTCTCCCGATTTCTTCTATCTTCTACAATATCCCCGCATTCTTTTATCTTCGAGGAAAAAAAAATGTTATTTATTAACTTATCTAATAATTGGAATAATTTAGTTTATTATCGTTGTTTAATTAATTTTCTGAAAATCCATTTTCAAATCTCTCCACCTGTCCATATATTTCCATCACATTTTTCCCCGCACTCTCCCAATTTCTTCTAATCTTCTACACTATCCCCGCACTTTCTCGATTTATATTTCAATTTTTCTGTTCAAATTTTAATTTCAGAATGAAAACACAATTTTTATTACATTTTATCATTTTGATTTTGAAATGCTAAAAACTTTTATATTTTAGCAATAAATGTATTTGAAAAGAAAAGCTATAAAATTTCAGGCGCAAATATAAAATCCGCCGAAAGGCAAAAATCAGTGAGAGAATTGAAGAAATGCTGGAAGAAGGAATCGGAAATTCTTTTTTTTTTTTTAAAATGGACGATAAATTTTATAAAATTCGAATTTTCAAAATTAGCAAATAGTTTTTAATGGAGAGAAAGGAAATGTAAGAGAAAAAGATAAATGAAGCAATTCCTTTCTTTCTTCCACATTTCCAGTTACTATATACTATGCATAAATATATATATATATTTAACTAAACTCCAATTGCTATAATCAATCATATTGGAAAGTGTTCCGACAAATTATTTTCAAATTTCAAAGATCATTCATTTTCTTTTTAACCACTCATGTTTTCATTGATATTTGCAGTAATCACTATAAGATAGACATATGTTTATATATATATATGTATATTATTGATTATTTAATTCGTTCACAAAATGCTTTCTTCTCAATTAGACCGCGATATCTTCCTTTTTCTTTGAAGAGAGAAATTGATTTGAAAATTGTAACACATGTTGTTTAGTATATAGATAGTAGTAGCATAGAACATTTTATTTTACAATTTACATCCGGCAAATTAGTAAATGGCATACACTCAATCTAATCATTTCATTCATTCTTATCAACACCAATTTTAATTTATTATTTATCAAATTTCTATTGCAAATATATCAATTAGCTTAATTAGTTCCAAATAAAAATAGTCAAATTTCTATTGAGAATTGTTAATCTTTTAAATTTATCAATGCTAATCATTTATTGGAATTTTTGAAAATTAATATTTGAAAGAAAGATTATCATCATTGATATGATAATTTACCTTAGCATTAATCATTGCATTAACATCAATTTTAATTTATTATCTTTCAAATTTTTATTGCAAATATACCAATTAGTTTAATTATCAATTAATTTAATTAGTTTCAAGCAAAAATAGTAGAATTCCTATTGAAAATTAATCTTTTAAATTCATCAATACCAATCATTTATTGTATTTTTTGAAATTTATTATTTGAAAGAAAGATTATCATCACTGATATGATAATTTACTTCAGCATTGATAGTTAATTAATTACTCTTTATTTAAATATTGGATCAAAGGTTTTTTTTTGATTTAACAATTTGCTAATGTGTAAGCTAATTTCTGTAAAAATTTTAAGTACTTATGAGTTAGCATACTAATATAAGATCGCATACAAATGTGAATAATTGCCAGATTTATGATAACAAATAGTGATAATCCTGATTATAGTAATTCTATGACTTCATATACATTTCAATTATAATAATCATCATATTATTTCTCAGATTAATTAATATGCCTTATCCGCTTATAATCGGATAATTAATTAAAATCAATGGCCTGTGATGAACACCTGCAGCATATTTCAACGTTAAATATATCCTTTAATTCTTAATACTGTCATTTGCGCTTCCATTTTTTGTTTTCTTTTTCAATTTTAAATTCCAATAAATGATTATAACTGAAATGTATATGAATTTGCAAAAACAAAAGTATAAACGAAATGAATTCGGAAATACTAAAATATATGAAATCATTCGAACTCAAAGATTAAAAGAATATTAATTTTTACTTAATTTAATTTACTTAATTGATAATTAACTTAGTGAATGATTTAAACTTTTAGTTTTTCTATTTGGAATTTCGGTATTTTAAATCTGATTCATTAAAATTTTTCTCTCTTTTTTAAATTTAAAACACCGAAAATATTATCGATTTGTTTTTTTTTATTGAGTTCAAATTATTATCCTGAAATGAAATGGACCTATTCGGTTTGAGATATTGAAATCGCTTAACTGGAAATAATGAATGCTTTTTCATCTGCAAGCTATTTTTATGGTTATTTATAAACTTTATATTCTTCGATTGCTTGCATTTGTAATAATTACTTTATATGCTATGCTAATATTAGCAAAAATTATTTTGCATAGATAATAGATATTAATAATTCAAGTAGTTAAATAGTTAGCATTAAATATTTAATTTGAATGAACGAAAAATGAAAATTAATAAAATGAAAAATATTTTAGGAATATTTATTTATTTGAAAATGAAAATTTAAATGAGTATAATTTAGAATTTCAGTTTCTCTCTTCGGAATTTTTTTTCTTCTTTTTTTTTTTGTTAAATACAAAATCATTAAAATTTAATATTTTATAGTTTATAATATAATTTCGAAACTTTTTTGAAATATTTTATAAATTGTGGGAAAATTTTGTAAAATTTTTTCATTTTTTTTTTCCACATTGTGGGAAAATTTTTTACGAGCTATCCGATAGTATTTAATAGTTACATATGGAAATCTATTAAGTTTGCGATTATTTTAAAATTCCGAAAATATTTTAAATGAAGAAATCAATTGGTCATTTTAAATTTTTCATTTTACCCTTTCCAGAAAAGAGATTACTAATTAAATTGAAATTTTTAATTGCAATTTATTCATTACTCTTGAAATAAATGAATTTTAAAATTTCATTTATAAGACGAAATATTGTATAAGAAAAGGAGAGAAAAAGACGTATTTGCAAAAGAAAAATTGCAATGAATGTGAATTTTTTTTTTTTGTTTTCTAATAAATTACGTACGAAACAATTAAATTTTATCTTTTTCAATTAATTTTAAGAATGAAATTAATTATATTGGAAGAACAAAGGAAAAAAACAAAAACGATTCCTCAAATAATAATAAATTTCGTTCTTTTTTTTTTTCCTATTATTTCTTTTTAAAAAATTTCATTTGATGCAAATTTTTTTGAAATGGATGATGAAATGGATTGAAAAATTTTTGAAATGGATGATGAAATGGATTGAAAAATTTTTGAAATGGATTAACCTAATTGTTATCAATGAAATGGATTGAAAAATTTTTGGAATGGATGATGAAATGGATTAACCTAATTGTTATCAATGATAAAATAAGAATACTTTCCTCATCTTCTTCCTCACTTTTGCTTTCTTTTCTCTAAGATTTTTTACTTTAGCCTATTTGTTTTCTTTCTTTTGTTCGCTTCTATAAGGTTAATTAGTTTTAAATCATATGGATGAAAATTTAAATAGAGTAGAAAGAGTGAGAAAAATGGAAAAAACAAGATGAAAAAGAGAAAGAGTTAAAGTTTGAAAAAAAAAGTTTTATAATTTATTAATTCGCTGTGAATAATAATCCAAGATATATTTCATACTAATATCACCTTTTATTTTACTTACCTTTTTTGCCACTCCTACCTGCTTGCCATTTCATTCATTTTATAGCTTTTAATATATATATATTCATTCATTAATAATAATAGCTATTAATGATTCATAATTCAATTAAAGTTTTTGAAGTTATTTTATTTTCTTTCATTCTTTGCAAAAATTCAAAAATCCATTTTTCTTTATTATCATTAATCATTTGTGATAAGTGGGGGAACAAATAGAGAAAGAGAAAGCGAAAGAGAGGAAAAAGGTTATTTTCTTTTGTTGTAAAAATTTTACTAATGTTTTCTTTTTTAAAATTACGAAAATTTAAATTTCAAAAACTTATTTTTTAAATTTTAATTAGATAAATTTTAATGACAGACTATATTTTTAGGTACACATACGTGATAATTGATAATTGCTAAATTTCATATACGTGATAATTGCTAAATTTCTTTGAATGACTTATTTGAGGGAATTTTTTTCCTTCCGTTTTGTATTATTAATGAAATAATTAATTATTATATAAATTTAATTCATCTCCTTTTCTTTTCATTTTATAATTCTGAAAATGCAAATTTTTGTTATCTGAACTATTTGTTGCAAATTTATAGGATTAAAATACGCAGAATTAGCAATTAATCATTTTGAAAACGCTTACATAGTCTTATCTTAGAAATTGATCGTATATAAAACATACATTTGGTACCTATCTCTACCATTTAATATTTCAATTTCAGTTATTCCACCAAATCGACTACCTCTATTTCTTCCTACTCTTTCTTTATTATACCTTTTTTTTTTTATTCCGGTATCAAATTTGTTTCCGGATATAAGTCCAATATGGAATCCATATTAATGCAAGACGATTGAATAGAATTGAACAACAAAAGAAGCATCACATTTTGATATAATAATAATTATTGGATTGGATAAAAATGGAGGACGAATTGAAATGTTTATTTTGCAAAGAATTTTTTACAGGTAAAATTTTTCGCAAAGAATTTTTAATTTTTTTACAAATAATTTACTACAAAATTTTACAGGTATTATTTTACAGGATTAAAACTTATGCTTACTAATAATTCTTTCAAAAATATTTTCCTCTTTAAATTCCTTTTAATTTAATTGCAGGAGGAGAAAATGATGAAATGAATTAGAAATAGAAATGTTGCAAATAATTTTTAAGTAATTATAATAATTCAACAAGTTTCAACAATTTTTTACTGCTAACTTTTATTCATCTAATTTATTTCAAAAAAATTTCATATTACTGATTGTTTTATGGTAAGTAAGTTTGGAAATGATTCATCATATCTTGATGTCAACAGGTATGTCAATAAACGGAAAATTACTATTTGTTACTTGTTGATCCACTAGATGACACTTGGTCAGTATTAATATCGGAAGTAAATTTCCATCATCATTATTATACTACCGTTTATCGGAAGTAGACTTCCATTATCATTATTATACTACCGTTTATTGGAAGTAGACTTCCATTATCATTATTATACTACCGTTTATCGGAAGTAGACTTCCATTATCATTATTATACTACCGTTTATCGGAAGTAGACTTCCATCATCATTATTGCACTACCGTTTATCGGAAGTAAACTTCTATTATCATTGTTAATTATTGATAATGCTTGCTGCTGTAGTTATATGCAGCAAAATAAACACACTGATGAATTTTTCAAAAAAATTTTCTTTTACAGAACCGATACTTCTCAATTGTGCTCATAGTTACTGCCGTCGATGTGTAGTACAATGTCAGCAACCTGTTTGTCATAATGCTCCGACTACATCAACGCCACATTCTCATGGTAATATGACATCCGGAACGGCACAATTTACGCATATTCATAATACCACACCATTATCACTACCCTCAAGCAGCGGTTTGCAATCATTTACAAGTTATTATTATCATATTATCATGTTTCATTCAAACGACTGTTCCGCTCATCATCTTTCTTTTCCGAAATGCTTTAAAAGAATAGAAAAAGTACGAGAATGACTAATTAGTATAATCAATTTTGTGATACAATAAATGAATAGTATAGAATATAAACAAATGAACACTTAACAAGTAAACAACTTATAAAACTCATAAATGACGAAAATAAAGGTGCTAAGTAATTGTTAAATTAATTATTGATAAGGCAATTAAAGTAAACAAATTACCTAACAGTTTAATTAACTAATTACAGTCACTATGATATTATAATTACTATCATCGAGAAAAAGTTAAATTCTGGCATTTCCCCGTATTCCGTAAATATTTATTAAAGAATTAGATATTATGATAGATTATGATAACAAATTTCAACATCAGTGTTAAATCATTTTTGGTAGAAGTGATTATTTCACAGCTATCAATGCTTCATTTTTTCGAAATTTTATAGAAATTTAAAATTTTCAAATTTCTTTTGAGGTCAAAGTTTACATTTAATTTCATATCTTAATATCTCATTGATAAAAATTTGAATTTTTTAACCAATTTTCCTTCTTTGATTATTTTTCAAAACAAACTTAAAGAACATAATTTTTTAGGAGCTAGTGATACAATTTCGTTGTGCACTTCTGATCAGGATATTGAAAGCGACAAACTGTCGGTTATATCAGAAACCGATAGTGGAGTGGTTGTTTCCAGTAGGAGTGAGTTTTCTTCCGGTAATTGCTATATGTTAACATGCTAGAATTTAAGCTTTCATAATTAAAGCTTCCTTTAAAAAATCAATCCTTTCTATGCTTTATTATTATATATTATTAGAATACGATTATTATTATCATGTAGGATAACTTTTCCAGGTTCTCGACCTTCGTCATTAATCGGTTCAACAGCTGCACATCCTTCACCTTCCAATTGTCTCGGTGGACATCGTCTACCATCTATTTTAACACCATCCACTTCAGGATGGATTGTTACCTGTAAGGCTTGCCATAAACCGACAGTTTTTCCGGATGAACAAACTGTTATGCTAATGCCTATTAATAAGGCTCTTGTTAATGTTATTAAAAGGTATTCGGAAAAAATCAGTATTTTTCATTTTTCACTGTTCCATAAAACTATTTCATTTAAAATATTGACAAGTAAATTAGTAAGACAACTGTCACAGAGCAATATTTATCATCGTATAAATCATTTTCTCGATATAAATGAATGAATAAATCCGAAATGTAAAAGTCATCATAATTTCAGATATCATTCAGGTAATTTACCAGTCCGAGATAAAAGCGGTACTGGTGAACAGACATATAACTGCCAGGTATGTTTCTTTTCAACTCATCATAATTTTAGATAATAATTAAGCTAAACATTAAATGAATCATGAAAAGTGAGTTAACATATATGAAACGTAGATACCGTAAAAAGATCTGAAAAAAATATGACGAAATTTATTATTATCATATTTTGCTATATACTATGAAATGTATGATAACAATCGAACATTGATATGTTTATCACATGTAGCTTGAATGAAAAATATTAAGGTACTGTAGAAATGGATTTAGATACTGTAGAAATGGTTACTTTGACATTTATTCTGTTATCATAGATTTATCATATATAACTTGAATGAAAGATATTAAGATATTATCGAAATGGTTAGTTGATATTTTGAATTTATTCTTGAAGATGATGAAGACCAAAAAATCAATATTTCATAATAATGAATGAATTGATTGCAATAATAGGTACCAGAAAGGTACCGAGGTAACTTAAGGTATGCTATTCATATATGTAACTTAGTCGAAAAAATATGAAATTGCTATGATATGATAATTTTCACTTTAACTTCACTATTTCAGCTATGTGATAGCGAAGAACCAGAGATAGCTAATGTTTTCTGTGAACAATGTGATATTTACTATTGTCAATCATGCCAAAATTCGTTACATCCATCTCGTGGACCTTTAGCATCACATAAATTAGTATTACCATCTGCAAGGTGATCTTCCTATTATATCATTATTTTGTATCATTAATTATATCATTAATTATTGTTTTTTTTTTTGCTCATTAAAATACTACAAATATTAATAAATTATCATTATTTATCGTTAATTTTTGAAATTTTTTTTTCTACTATAAAATTATTATAAATTATAATTATTTCGATAATTTATTATGAATAAATCATCCATCTGTTGAAAAATTTTTTGAGATAATTTTTTTTCGTTTAAAATATATCAGTGAAATGAATAAAATTTCTTCTTTCCTAATTTTTTAATTTTTAAATTAACAAATAATCATTAACCTGAATTTAAATTTAGACGATCATATCGGGCAACAATCAGTTTACCAAAAGATTCTAAATGTTCAAATCATCCATGTGAAAGCCTTTCAATGTATTGTATGATTTGCCGATTAGCCATATGTTCTCAATGCTTACAAGAAACGAAACATTCCAATCATGATGTACAAAGTCTTGATAAAATTTGCAAAACACAAAAGGTTCAGTTAAATTTTTTATAACAAATTATTTATCATTTGAATTAATTTTATTATAATTCTTATTGTTTTAGCAAATACACTTACAATAAGTATTTACATATATATTTAATGTCATAGAAAATGCGCATAACATTTTACATACAAACATATTCTTTATCTTATTGTAATATATTAGATTGGCAACATTACGACATAACATTACGCACATCCTTATCGTATACAGTACACATCTTCATTGCATTGGCTACATTACGATACACACGCACATCTTTATCGTATTAGCAATTTGTGTGCAAATGAACTTCAGCAAGAAATTTTAATATGAAGAGAAAATTAATGTTGTAGAAACTAGTTGTGTGAAAAGATGAAGAGGAAAATGAGGAATGGATTAATAATTATCATTCATAATGAAAATTTAGAAATTCGAAATTTTCATATCTTTCATTTCCAATATATTCTAATATTACTATTTCATTTCTTTCTTTACTTTAATTTTTGATAATTCCAAATTTGCATTTTTGTTACATTTAGAATATGGGAAAATTGCTCCCATAATTCAATTATCATATTTAGCGATACATTAATGATTATTTTTTATTATTCACAATTTTACGTTGAAAAGAATAACTTATAATTTATCTTCTAATTGATGTATTTCCTTCTTTTCTGATCAGAAAACTAACAGAGAATAGTTTCATCCATATCATAATTTAAATATCGAAATATAAAGAAAGAAATTTGAATTGATCCGAGAATGTAGAAGCTTGTTGACAGCTAATATAAAATATTACTAAAAAATTTTTATTATTATGCTAATAAAAAGATATATAAATATTAGTCTGAATAAGGATGAAATATGAAAAGTAAGAGAAAAAGAGGGAAAAAATCGAATTGGAATTATCCGTTTAAATTTTTAATTCTCTAAGGAATTTTAATAATCCGTTATAAAGCCATGAATATGGAAATCATCTTTAAAAATTCGAAAACTTTTAAATTGAAATAATTAATCGATTGAAATGATTCATCCATTTCATATATGAGTAAATTGAAATAATAAATTCAAATTTAGCAGACTCAATAAAATCTCAATCTTTCCCTATTCTTTAAAACGTTACAAAATTTAACTCAAAAATTTTTCTTTACAGTAATTCAATTATTAGATGAGAATATCAATTATTCCATTTCCAATTAATTCGTTGAATTTTTCTATTTTCATAATTGCTAGCAGAAAATGATGATAAATTTAGGATTTAAAGATGCTATTCAAACAATCAATTCGATGATTGCACGCATAAATGATTTTATAAATATAATTCTTTAGTAAGCTTAACTTTATCCGACTTACAATTAAGCATTAGTGAAAATTTTAGGTCCTATATTGGCATGTTATGGAGTTAACTTTCAGGCTTATTCAATCTTTTAACTGAATTCATTATCTTCACTTCGTCTGCCTAATTCCTTGTTTACTTCTACACTCATGTATGAACAGAAGAGAGAAATTTTGTTTCTCTTTGATTGCCACATATTTGACAAATTTTAAAATATTAAAATGATTGAGGGAATAGAACTTTTACATTTTCCCTTGTTGCAGTATAATTTGAATTAATATTAAAATTCAATCTTTGGCGGGCAGTATTGAAAACACTGATTCTTATTATAAAGCGATCGGCAATATTTAAATGCTTAAAATTAAATGTATAATATATTAAATCATATATTAAATATATTAGAATAAAATAAATCGTATATAAAAAAAAATCGTATATATCGTATATAAATAATGAATAATTGAGATGAAAAGATAAGCGCGATCCATAGATCGCTGTGATATAAATATGCGAATTGCAAGAATGATTTTCTTCAATCGATTGTTTACTTGATAATTTTTGGCATCTCTTCTTTTATCTCATATTTTTGAAATAGTAAAATTTCAAATTATTTAAATCCAGAAACATCTTTATCTTCATCCGCAAATACCTTTATATATACATCTCTGTTTACTTCATTTATTATTCATCAAAGATGGCCGATATATTCGCTAACGAATAAACTGTATATCATCTGATTACCGTTTCAGGTAATATTTGAAAAATGATAAAATTTAACAGTTCTTAAATTTAATAATGTTTCATAGTTTCATAAAACTTCATAATTTCATAAAACAATAAAAAATTTCATAAAATAATTTCATAAAACCATTGAGTTTGATTATTTTTATACTATGTCTTTTATACAATTTTCTTGGTAAAATTTTCACCTATACTAAATTAATAAACATATATATAGAAAATATATAAATGACTATTTAATTATAAAATATATGTTCCTAAATTAATGATATGCATGTATGAATTAAAAATATAAAGCGATAAATTAGAAATTTAAATAAAATTACTGATCGAATTTAATTGATAAAATATTTGGATCCAATCTCTGAAATCTCTCAACGTTGTAATATCAATATGGAACAATTATAAATTTCATCATTTTAAATTATTGATAGGATAAATTGTAAAGAACGCCATCATAGTACGAATTTATGATTATTATTAGTAATGCTTTTTAATAAATATAATTATCAAAACTGTCAACAGTAGTATGTTTAAATAAAAATCAAATATTATTATTGAAAAATTTTTTGATATACTGTAATTCAAATATGTCAACAATCATTTATTCAATTAATTAAAATGATTGTCTTTAGCGAAAAAAAAATTGAAATCATTATTATCCATTATTTTATTATTAACATTTATTTATGCGATCGATAATTTCATTTCATATATTTATTTTAAATTTGTTAATAGCTTCAATAATATCTGATAACATCTTGCCTATTTTAGGGTCAATTGATAGTTGTGATACTTTGAAAGATAATATTTAAATTTACAATTTTCTCTTCGTTTGATCTTTCAAAGGTGTAAAATTTCAGCAGGTGTGAAAATTTTGCAATTAAAATTTGTTGAAGATGAAAGAATTATACCGTTTAGATATTTACAATACGATATCTTATTTCTATTTATCTATTCTTTCTTTCATATATCCTTTCCACCTCTTCGGAAGGCAATTTTTGACCTTTTGATGACCTTATTATTGGAACATATGTTCAATCTTCAATCTTTCCCTCTTATCACATTTGTAGTCTTTTAATAAACAATAATAGCATATGAGAAATTTCAATTATTTCAAATTTTCAAATTAATTTATAAAGAAAAATTAAGCAATGAATAATGTAAGAGCTTGTGGGAAATGGTAGAGATATTAGAAATAATTCGTTTTTCCCGCGGGAGAAACAATCTTATCAATCTTTCTAAATTATAGCTAATCATATAAATATAGAAATGAATTAAGAGCAATTTAGTAATTAAAGAGTTCATCAAATAATAAGATAGAACAGCTGGTATATGTCTATTCAATTCAAAATTTTAAATGTCCAATAATAAATAATGACAGTCACCTGTCATTAATATTATCCATCGAACGATCAATCCTATCCTATTTATGTTCATCATGTTTTATCATCGTGTTTTACAAAAATCCCTCTTATCACAAGATTTATGATTGAGTTGTGATCGATGCAGCTGTTCTTGAGGAAGGAAAAGAGAGAAAGGAAAAGTGAGAGGGAGAGAAATTTTTGAATTGTTCTTACAAAAGCATTTTACATTCTAATAACTTACGAACCCATATTATTCGATCCGACGATAGATAAGCTAATTTGTCAACGATTTCTCTTTGATGTTTAATAGATATAGGATGAGAAGGAGAGAGAGGGAAGAAGAGAGAGGGAGAAAAGAAAAGAATGGGATCAAAGGGTAATGCGAAAAATTTGACACCCAAAAGGTAACAAATGGAAGAATTAAAGGGAATAGAGGGAATGTGTGAAAGTTTTATTACCTTTCACCTCAAAACTAAATCGTATTAAATATCATATAAACTATATACTATCATATAAATTTATAATTGAAAATTTCCAGATACTATAAATATATTCATATTAATATAATAATGAGGGAGAGCAATTATCACGATTAACTCGAGCTACGTAAAAATCATATTAAATATCATACAACCTATATACTATCACATAAATTAATAATTGGAAATTTCAAAATGCTATAAATGTATTCATATTAATATGATAATAAGGGAGAGCAATTTTCACGATTAACGTGAAATACGTAATAATCGTATTAGATAGATATCATACAGATATCATACAATTAGATATAATACAAGCTATATATTGTCACATAAATTAATAATTATAAATTTCAAAATGCTATTAATATATTCATATTAATATAATAATAAGGGAAAGCAATTATCACGATTAACGTGAAATACGTAAAAATCGTATTAAATATCATACAAGCTATATACTATCACATAAATTAACAATTTACAATTTCGAGATACTATAAATATATTCATATTAATAGAATAATGAGGGAAAGCAATTATCATGATTAACGTGTAATACGTAAAAATCGTACAAGATATCATACAAATATCTTGCAATTAGATATCATACAAGCTATATACTATCACATAAATTAATAATTGGAAATTTCAAAATGCTATAAATATATTTATATTAATATAATAATAAGGGAAAGCAATTATCACGATTAACGTGAGATACGTAAAAATCGTATTAGATATATTATAAAGCTATATACTATCACATAAATTAATAATTTAACGTGAGATACGTAAAAATATCGTGATACGTTTGATTTGAAATGTAAAAATTAATGTTTTAATACTCGAAGATTTTTAATAATTTTGAAAATGGTTGATTAATTAGGATAGTAGTTTCTTAAAAAAAATAATGCTTTTATCTTCGAAATTTTAAACTTATCTCTATGTGTGTGTGTGTGTGGGTGGATGTGTGTGTGTGTGTGTGTGGGTGTGCTTTGCCCTATTTAATTACATGATATTATGGGAGAGATTACACGCATTGACTTATTTTGAAAATTAAATTTCTCTATTGATTACCTCAATCAAAAGAGGATTTGCTAAAATTAGGATTAAAAATGTTTCCCACTAACTTCCTGCTTCAATCTCAACTTAATGACACAATTTAAATTCATTCAAATTTAATTTGCATGTCATATATATGGCATTGAATTCGACAAAGATTAAATGCCAATTTTATAAGCAATGTCCAAATTACAGAATCTGAAAAATTATGACTAATTTAGTGTTACAATTGGTTAGTTTATGGATGAGTCAGTAGCTGACCTGATGATAAATTAGATAGAAAGATTGTATAATTTTAGATTATAGGATATCTGATATGACAGCTAAAGCTCATTCGAATAGTCAATCAAGCATCAGAGAGAGAAGGAGAGAGCATGTAATTTTCCTTTTTGTTCCCGCATTGAAGCATTTGAGGCGATACAATTAAATTGTTGGTCATTAGATTGCCAATATCTAAGGAACGGTGGCAAATCAATGGAAGCAAATAGCTCACAATAATTTACTTCTTTCCCTTTCACTCTTTTATATTGCTCCATAAAATTTTTCAAACCATTGGCAAGCAAATTAAAATAAACATTGATCGATATACGATGGATTAATTAGCAAATATTTTAATGAATTTCTTTCAATCAGTCCTTTATGTATTTTATTTCCTTTTATATATATAATTAATTGAAAGACATCGAAATATACCTTTTTTTTAAAATTTTTCTGAAATCAAATTATTAAAAGTTTTGAGAAAAATTAAATTTTTACTAATTTTTCAATTTACACCCACACACACACGTAGGGGTATGCCCACACACACGCAGGAACAGGCCCACACACACGTATACACATCATACACACACGTAGACACATACCCTCACACACGTACACATATCCACACACACACACATACATTTTCAGTATTATATTATTAAAGTTAAGCTATTCACAATAAAATAGCTTTTCAAATTTAAAATTTCGTTTTATTTATCGATGCTTCATTGCATTTAATTTAGTTGAAAAAAAAATTAATTAATTGATTTTTAAAATTAGTTGAAATAATTGGAATAGGTTAAAGAACCATTCCTTTATGATCGTAAAATACTTAACAAAATTGAGTACCATCTCTTTCATTCTCATAATTCTTGCACAATTTAGTAATTATTGAATTTATGAAAATGAGAAAAAACAAAACCGATCAAATTGAGAAAATACAAATCAAAATTATCATTTTCAACTAATTAACATTTCTAATAATGAAGAAGAATGGATAACATTGTTTAAGTGTCAATTTTAAATTTCAACAAAAAATTTTTGATATAATGAAACGGATAACGAACCATTTGCCAGCTGTTAGCTTATCGTTTGATCGATCACAGCTGTAAAAGGATGTTGTCGAAAAATGTTGTAAAAGATGATTTTTCTTTCTTTCAAAAATTGATAATATTATGAAATATATTGAATTATTCATAATAATGTTGCGAAAAATTTCCGCTTTTTTCTTACGGTACCGAATTTTAAAAATAATGCAACAAATTTCATTATTGAATTAATTATTCAATTTTTTCATTTCTTTTTCTTCAAATAAAATCATCATTAAAAATTTTTAAAATTATTAAATAAACTGGTATAAGTATAAATGAACTTTTATTTTATTATATAGTATAAATAAATCTTTATTTTAGTATAAAGCATAAATAAACTTTTATTCCATTATATATATTATTTGATCATATATTTGTATTTCAGTATTCACGAATAATTTTATTATTAAAAGTATTGAGCAATAAATTGCGAAGAAAAAATTGAACTAAAAAAAAGAAAATGAAGAAATTAATTAATTAGAGTAAATAAATATTATTTGAATAAAGAAGTATCTAATCTTTGACTTTTTAAAAGATGGAATAATTGAAACAATTGGAAACAATCAATAAATATCACTTATGCTATCATAAATAATCAAAGATTATTGATGGACAATTGTGGCCTAATATTATTGCGAGCGATAAGTCTGTCACTGTTAATTAGCTTCAGGCATCTTTGACCAGCCAAAACAATTGGAAAAATGATGAAAAGTGCTTTGTTGTTGAAATGCAAACAATTTTAATCATTCAATAAATATCTTTTAATCAATCAATTTTCTTATAATTATTCAATATCTCCAAAAAAATTACAATTAAATAATCGTTATTATTCTCAAATTTAATCATTATCATTGAATAAATATACGATAAATAATGATTTAAATGGGATTAAATAATAATAATAATAGTAATAATAATAATAATAATAATAATAATAATAAAATTAATAATAATAATAAAATTAATAATAATGACAATAATAATAGTAATAATCATTTAGTAATAGGAATAATAATAGAGAGAAATAATAATTAATAATAAGCAATATTAAATAATAGTAATAATATTAATTATAATTGCTAAAATTGTTGTAAGTTATTTTTTAACAACAATTCACATTATTGTTACATTTTTGTTTCAGGCAGAATTATCACAAATTCTGCAACTTTTAAGTGAAAAAGCAAAACATGCAACGGAAGATATAACTCGACTCAAACAACTTAACGATGCTATTTCTGTATGTTAAAATATTTTGAAAAAATTACATTTGAAATGAAATTCTTCCAATTAGCTAATCAATTAATGCATTTGTTTTAATTATTATATAATATTTAAAATATATTTTGGATTATTTCAGGTAAATTGTTTCGATTTTCAACATCGTTTAACAGTACAAATTGATTCATTAATTGAACAATTACAACAAAGAAAGGAAAAACTGTTGCAATATGTAGAAGAAGAAAAAGAATTTAAGGTGGCAACAACGTTGAATTATTTTGTAAAATGCGCATTTTTAATACTTACAAATTTCATTTACTTATTGTAATATTAGCACTGCTGGTTAGATATCATTAACTGATATTACATTTTTAAAGTTGATTATTTAATTGAAATTTCAAATCAGCAAAGAGATAACATTGAGCATAATTATGTTAACTTAACAATGTATGTCATATCATATCGCCTGTATCGATCGCCGGAAATATCTCGAAATTGATAATATCGTAAAGAGAGTAATTGCTCAATTTTCGGAAGAAATGTTTATCATCGACTAGATTTGTTACAAAATGCAAATGATTTTAAATGTATTAATATGGAAAACTAATTAATATACTTTCCGGTTTTTTTATCATTCAGAGACGAATATTCAAAGAGCAAATTGGACGTTGTACGACGAAATTATCAAAGACAACTGCTCTCATACAATTCTGTATTGAAGTTCTCAAAGAACCTGATCCGGCAACTTATTTACAAGTACGTTTATCAAAATATCAAACTTCCAATGAATGTATATTATTGTATGACCTTTCGGAAACTTTTATCAATTTTAAACTTCCAATAACGAACTGTAAATATATCTTTATCGTCGTATAATCTTTCGATTTAAAAAAAATTGTTTCTGTTTTAGTTATTTGTAGAAATAAATGTATCAATGTTTTAACATAAAATTTTATCCTTCAAAATGTTATTTGGTCATTTCATTAAACAATGATTAATTAGTCTTGATAACTGAAAGATATTATTTTTGATACTAATCGAAAAATCAACAATTCATATTTGTCACCACTACACATTTGAAATGGCTTCATTTTGAACATAACGAATTTTTGATTGATTAAAATAAATAATTTAGGTAAGCAGCGCGTTGACCAATCGTGCCACAACGCAGGAATTCCTATGGCATAAAGAAATGCAAACAACACCGGAAGCGGATCCGGATTTTATACTAAATTTAGATGTGAACAACTTACAATATGCCATACAGACATTAGATTTTGCTCAATTAAAAGGTTTTCCTATTTTTCTTGAATTAATTTCGGAATTTGATGAAAATGCTTAAGAATTTATCTATCAACATAATCTTTTAAATCTTCAACATTAGTAGCAAGAATTATTTCATTCAGGTAGTCGATTGGTAGGAAAGAACGGTGATTCTGCTATTGGTAAAGTTTATTTAACTGATGTAAACTTTAATATAGCATGCAATGATTAATATTCAAGCAGCTCTTAAAGTTTTAAATTTCCACAAAGAATATATTTACAAATTTACTAAAGCATGCATAGTTTAGGGAAACAAATTTTTAATTAAAATTCTGAAACTTAAGTTTAAAATGGGTAAGCATTGAAAATTTAGGAAAATACTAATATGCTAATGATATCGCAACGGAAATTTTTGTTTCGTTTAAATAATAAACAGATTTATATCATTGATTTTTATATCATTTATTTATATCATTTATTACTAATTATTAAAATAAGGAAAATTAATTTAATTAGGATTAAAAATAATAGTAATGAATGATAATATCTAATGAATAATAATATAATAATATCTATAATGAATAATAATATCTTAAATCTCGCGGTAATCTACCGGTATATCGTGTTGTCATTGTTATTGTTTTGTGATTATAGTGGTTGTGATTGAGTAAATTGCACATTTCATCTAATTAATTAGATGAATTAAATTATTAAAAATTTATAATTCTTCCTATGTATATATGGAAGCAATCAAATACCGTAATATATGATTAATTAATTTAATCATTTTTTTTTTTATAGTACCAAATGCGCCTTTAATAGAAACATTGGAATGTGTTGCTGAAAATAATTCCGTAACAATTGTTTGGAAAGCGCAAAATGATGATTGTGCAATTGATGGTTATATCTTGGAAATTGATTCCGGTTCCGGAAATGGATTATTCAAGGTTGCAATTTGATTGTATTACTGTAATAATCCCTTTTATAAACTATACATACATACATCTGTAATCAAAGAATTAATTATATTACAGTAATTATAAAAGAATGCCAATTAATGTATTTTTTTTTGTTATAAATAAATAGATAAGAATTTATAAAATTATTCAAAATGATTCGTAATTTTCAAATTTTATTTTTACAGGAAGTATACTGTGGCAGAGATACGATATGCACAATTGATGGCTTACATTTTAATACAGTTTATAATGCACGAGTTAAAGCATTTAATTCAGCTGGTGAAAGTTCATACAGCGATATGATATGTCTTCAGACGGCTGCCGGTTAGTGTAACTCTATTTATTCCGAAAATTTATATTGCTATAGAAAGTAATATATTTTAATAGAAGGATAAATTTGACAATGATAGCCATATTCCATAAACAATTCTTGGAGAAATGAGTTATGCTTATTCGATCGGTGTCAAAACCATTTCGTTTACGTATTGATTAATCCATTTGCTGATCCGATTGTTATACGGAATTTACATCTAATCAATTTACATCTCTTTTTCTTTTCAGTAGCATGGTTTCAATTAAGCAAATTAGCTTCACAAACTGATTTAATCATATCCAATGAATGTATGTCAGTAACGGGAACAACAATGGAATATAAAACATTGTGCGGTTCCATTGCCTTTTCCCGCGGAATACATTACTGGGAGGTAACGGTGGAACGTCATAGAGGAAATGCAGATATTGTAGTCGGTGTAGCACAAAATGCTTTCAATCGTCATATTATGCTTGGTATATAATTTTTACTTCCAACAAAGATCTTTTACCTCCTTTATTTTTATCCCTTCAAGAAATCCTGAATATTGATCCGATTCAGGCTGATATATAGACGGTTTTTTCTAGATTAAATATTAATTTATGGATGGCGATGAGCATCAAATAGTTACAGATGAGATCAGCAAATATGAAGTGATTGTAGGCAAAGATTTACACGGTTGGTCAATGTACATCGATGGAGAACGTTCGTGGTACTTACATAACGGTATGCATCATAGTCGAATTATCGGTGGTATCGGTGTCGGATCCGTAATTGGAGTACTACTGGATTGTGATAAGGGTACTCTTGCATTCTTCGTTAACGATACGCGACGTAATTATGAAGGACAATTAGTTGCATTTCGGTATAATAATAATATTAATACTACTAATAATAATAATATGTAAATTATGATAGATAAAGAAAAAAACAAGGAAATAAATAGTTTCATTCGATTAGTTATTCTGTTAAAATTATAACATTTTTACGTATCTATATAAAATGCGTTTCTTTTCATATAATAAAATAAATAAGCTAAATATATATATATATATATAATAGTTAGGATAATATTTATAATTGAGGAATATGCCACGTGGTTTACACTATCCGGCATTCAGTATCAATTGTGATACAATGATAACGGTACATACCGGTTTGGCTATCCCGTCAAGCTCAGGAAGCAGTGATTGCAGCGATACATGATCAATAATTCCATAATAATATCAATTTGATTTAATTTTTCTTTTTCAAAAATATTTGCAAATTTTATTTGGCTGTATAAAAAGATATATAATGTTATATTTGCTGTCCATTTGTCTACATTTACTTTATCAATGATTCATAAAAAATAAAAGACAGGAAATATTAATTAATAATACCTGACTAATTAATATCCGATATTCTAACATGTATGCATAGTGTCGCAATAATAATATTTCCATGAATTTAGTGATATGCTTGGTAAATCAAACTTCTACAACTTCCAAGAACTAACCGTTTTATTTAAACAATAAATAAAATATGCTAAAATTAAGTTTGTTTACTTTGTTCGTTTACTTTCTTATCAGTTTCATGCATTATTTTTTCGGCATATCAAAAAGAAAAATTCCAAATGATAATTCTTTCTGTTGTTTATGTTTGATAATAATATTGTAAAAATTCAAATATAAATTACAATTGCAATTTTGCATTTTTGCACAAGAATATATAACATTGAAAGTTTACAGTAATCTGTGTGTGCAATAATTTGCGCTAATTCGCAAACATGTAAGGTTATGTATATAAAATGATAGTGATAATCCTTGACATTATGATAATGATAATCCACAACACTACATTAAGTGATAATGATGATCCTCAATATCACATTAAATGTTAATGATAACCCTCAGCAGCATTAAATGATAATACTCGACGGATTCATTTGAAATTATAATAAAGATGAAGAAATGTAGTAAGTTTTTAGAATATATCTAACAAATAAATGATTGAAATTATCATAACATTATCTAATTCAATAATTCACTCAATTTTAATGATATTAAAATTCCAACTAAATTATTAAGTCTTAAAATTAAACTCTTCACTCATTGGAAATTTTGAAATTTCTAAACTTCATGAACAAAATATATTTGCATACGTAACTTTGATAAAATAAAAATTCTGAATAAAATAATCAATCGTTCGATATGATTGTTGTCTGTAATAAATTCGTTGTTATCACTCTTATTTGTACTATTAGTAAATTTATTTATTATAATTATTATACTAAGAAAAAGAAAACTTGTGATTTAACGAATCGATAATTTGTTATAGTAAATTTCTAACACAAATAAACAATAAACAAAATTTCAAATAAATAATACAATATTCTCAATATAAAAAATCGATCGAAGATGAAACATTAATAGATAGTACTGAGATTAATTAATCTGATAATCATTAATTTGGATGAAATGATAAAATCGTTCGATTTGTTTTCAATTCGTAATTTCCCTACCAATTATATATGTTTGTTTTTTATTACAACAAAACCGTATAATAATAAGGATGATCAGTATTATAAAGGTAATAAAGACAATTAAAGTGAGGAAAAGATTAAGCCAACTATTCATTATACGAGACCATATCATAGACCAAATCTTTATTTCAGGATTTTGAATTGAATGTTGCAAAATTTGTCCATAACGATTAATCATATATGTTAAACCATGAAGATAATTAGCATTAGCAAACAATGGTTCTGAAATTATTGATTATCATTTTTATCTTTCATTATCTTTAAAATATATTCCAAAAAAAAGGATTTGAAAAAAATTTAAAAATTTGATAAAACAATTGCACAGATGTCGCAAGTTCATTTCTCAAATTAGCATTAGCAAATTTGATTTTGTAATTTTCATCACATATTTGCAGTACTACTAGTAGTAGTAGCAGTTTGATATCAGTGAAAACTCTGATATTCGGGCTCTTCCTTTCTGCTAGAAATGAATAAATACTGAATTTATCATTCTCTCTTCATATTTCAAATAGTATTTTTAATTCCTGAAATGGCTTACTTAGCTTAAAAAAGCTTAGCTTACCTATTCAAAATTTAATTATTTATTATTTATAGTTTGACCTCTATCTTTAGCATATGACAAATGAACAAATATGGAGATTGAGTAGATGTGACGGATAATGTAACACGGATCATAATCTGATCAATTATAATCCAATTTTTGCTTTACGAATATTTTTCAGTGTCATCAATTTCACAACGATATAGTTATCAGAATAATTGTACAACAATTTTATAAATACCATTCTCCTATTGAATAATTTACTTTATACTACACTTTGAAGTTTAGTATAAAATATTATTGAAATGACAGTACCAGCTTCTTGACTTATTCTCGTGATAATATTCGGTGTAAGCACTCTTCCAATCACTTCACCTACTGATGTATGGACCTGAAATAGCTAGGTAATGTAACTAAAAATTAGAAATAATTTTTTCAATTTTTTTTCCGTTTTAAATTTGAAATCAAATTTGAAAACTAGCAATTTTCCAGTCAGCAACTGCAACAATTAACGCATCATCAGCGCATTGGCTACGATGTTGCTGCCGTTGTAGCATTTTGGCAAATATCTGAACTGAATGATTATGATTTTCTGCGCTCCTGAAATTAAAATATTTTAAAAAGTGTTTATGAATATCTTGATACTATTTTCATTTCTATTTTCAGAATCCCCTCATTGTCATAAGTATGGAAAGAGTATGTAAATAGAATCAAAATATCTGCTATCATATTATTCTGTATATCACAAATCAAATGTAATTCACTACAAATTTATATCCATTTCCTGTTTCAAATTCAAATAGGAAGAAAATAATTGGTTGTAAATTAGCTATTTAAAAAATAAATCAATAATTTAGATATTTCAGCAAGAATTGATTTTAGCATAAATATAAAACACATTTACATCGTATCATTATTCATTGCAATTAATTTCATGATAGCAATTGATATCGTATATCCATGTGAATTAACATTTGAACAATAACCATACAATTCATCCTTTTTCAGGCATGGACAATTTGTCGCATAACGAATTCTTCGCAAATGTTGCGATAAATATTCAGCTCCTAATTTAAAAGCATCAAAAATTGTGATGATACGGTTATTAGTAAGAAGGAGAAAGTAAGGAAAGAGAAAGGCTTTCTATATAAGGCAGAGAATAGTAAACTTACCGGAAAGTGTATGATTAAACGGTTTCAGTAGTTGATCCGGATCACAAGCAAATCCTGGAGAGTTAAGGTTACAAAGATCCGGTTCAACTAGTGAATCCGGATATGTTTCAATGGTATATTTTGGTGAACAGTGAATTAATGAAAATATGAACAATAAGAAAGGAATAATAATATGAATAGACATTATTTCTCCGGTATATATATAATTAATGCATTACTGTAAATTCAACAATTATATTCATCATTATAAGCATATCGAAATATTAATCAGATTTTTCAAAATAATTATTAGTAACGATTAAGATTACTAATTAATAATGCAAATGATAACGATTTAAAGTTCGATGAAGTTTCGAAACAATTTCGATTTCGTTGAAATTTTATGCAACTCATAATTAATTTACAAAAAGAAAAAAGAAATTCCTAAATCTTTGAAGATTGAAATGAGGAAAGCGAAAATTCGTCAATGTTAGCAAATATACGACAGCGATAGAGGATGAAAAGCAAATAATAATCGAAGTAAATGGATGAAAAGAGGAAGATTTAATAATTTAAGTTTCACTTTAAAATTCTTTCATTCATTCCTTTCAATCGATTTATTCAAACAATTCTTAATTTTCTTATTTCATATTACTTTATATATTATTTGCTTAAGTTTTATTAAATGATAATAATGATTGATAAAATGTTTGCAATTTGTTGTATGTATGTTTAATGATACAGGTGAAATCTTTTGTTAGTATAATATAAACATTTCATTCTTTTCTGGTAAACAAAATGATTCATTTGAAAAATATACAAAAATGTAGTAGCTCACTTTTATTAATCAATTTACTTCTTCTTTCTTCTTATTTATTTACATCAATCAATTTTAACTATTTAAATTTTTATGCTAATAATTATCAGCAGATCACTTTAATAATCTAATGTAATTTATCATGTTACTAATATCCCAATAACAAATATCCAATATTAATTCAATTATTTAAATGAGAAATTATTGAAATGAAAAAATTGTACGGAATGGTTATGGAAGAGTGAAATGTAATGAACAAATTGTTTAATTGAAATTAATAGAATTAAATAAATTTCATAAGAAAAGAATAAGACTGAAGTAATATTTAAAAATAAAAATATTTCCCAATCAAATTGCTTAGCAATGAGTAATGACATTTATACGATTCTTTCATCGATCTACAATATTGCAGGATATTTATTTATTTCATTTGCGCTTTTTAATCTTCTACACAATTTTTCCGTATATTCAACAATGGAAGTTACTTAAGAAAGTTTTTATTAATTAGGTGTATTAATTACTAGCAATGTTTCTTCTCTTCGAATAGTTCGAAAAATGCAAAGCAATATCATTTCTAACAGTGAATGCGAAATAACGCTAACAGCTAACATTCTGAGATTCATATGTTCCTTCTCTGACATAGAAATAATCGGAATTTTGTTGTTGAAATTTTAAATGTTAAAAGAACAAGTCATAAAATACAGGTAATAAAATTATTGATTATGAAATTCCTGTATATCTCCAGAATGATAGAACTCGTTCCACTCTTTATGGAAAAATGTTGCATAAGTAGAAATGATACTCGTGGAAAAATTGTAGTAATTATTTATTCCTACCAAGAGGTTATAAATAAATTATGGAATTTTCAGGATAACCTGTTCGGTTGACTGTTTCAACACATTATTTAAGCTAATTTAACATTTGAATTAAAATGTTTCAGAATAAATATTGAAACGTAGAAAATTTACTAATGAATATATCATTACAACCACATTTTGCATATCAAAAAATATTAGAAAAAGATTTTATCGAAAAACAAGAAAAGAAATAAAAATGTGATTTCATTATTGCAAGTATATAAGAAGCAAGAGAGTAATAATTTATTCCAATCTATATTGTATAAATGATAAGTGAGAATTATTTATACATACATATAACCTGTATCCGGAATGTTTTCATCTAGCAGAGATCTCCTTCATATACCATTATTATAATTCAAATCTCAAAACACAATCCTGAAAAGCGGAATCTTCCCACAGTTGTACCAATAAGTATTAGCAATTTTCATTTTTGACCTTACTGTTATCATCGAGCTATCATAATTGTTTCGCAGAGTTAAAATAAAATTCGGTAATACATTCTACAATGTTGTAACAAACATCTATCTCCTCCTCCTTTTCTAAACTAAAATCAATATGTCCATTTTTTTTTCCTTTCTTTCTAAATAATTAAACTAATAAGTTTAGTTGAAACGAAAGATCAAAATATCGGAAACCACAAATACTCCTTTCCATTTTTTCTTCATCATAATAGAATGCATGATGTTCATAATTCGTAATAGAAATAGAAATGTGAAAAATACTGCTAGAAAATGCAATAGAAAGAAAGGAAGAAAAAACAAACAACAAAAGAAAGTAATCAATAAATATAATTATTGATACAACGATTTTATCAAAATTTTATCATTAAATTATTAAAAGCGAATAAGAAAAAGATTACATTCTACATTTTTAAATCATTAAAAATAGCTCCCAAATAATAGCGAAATTTCGATCGATTTCAAACTTGACCTATTACGCCGAATCAATATAATAATCTAATGAATGATAGTAATTTTGAGACGATAAAATAGTTGAATTGTTCATGTATTACTAACATATTAAAATATACAATTATCAAAGTAAAATTTAAAAAAATTAAATATAATGCATAGATGAATTTACCTAACGAAAGATTGTAAATCAGTTTTACACACTGCAATTCGTATTATTGATCGTTCACCTGTACAAATTGAAAAATACAACATACATAATCAAAATTTATTTACAATTACATCCCTCCTCCACTCCTAATAGATTTAATGATACTAAGCTGTTCTAAAACTTAAAAAAAGAATAATTTCAAATGGATATAAGAATAATATTCTATAATGGATATAAAATATTCTTCCCAATAAATCCATACTATTTAACTTGTTGAAAAGAATTAGACTTGAAAACTGAAAATGTATATATGTAGATTAAAAAAGTATCTTGAAATTTCTTGCAATTTTGTCAACTACAAAGTTGACGCAAGATACTACAATTCCTGGCTAAAATCAGCTGTTAAGCAAATGACGTTTGCCAAAATCTGAACAAATAAATTCTGACAAAAAATTCTCAAGAGTAATATTTTATTCTTACAGTAACCGGAGAGAAGAGACTTGTAAACAAATTAATCTTGTCTCAGCTATTTCAATAATACTTCTAACTGTAATAAAATTAACGGCATAAGTAATATAATGCATCTTTAACAATACATACTAAAAACTAAAAAAAAACTTGAAATCCCGAAAAAAAACCTGAAATGGCTTACATGCATACATACATAATCAATAATCATCAAATAAAGAAGATAAGAATTAAATATTTAGCAAAAAAAAAGGGAAACAAGTTACCAAAAGCACTTCGTAGCAGTGATTATAAATTTCAATAATTCGAAAATTTTTCGGACCATATATTTCCATATGCAATTCGTGATCAGTGAAAGAAGCTGTAAAAAAAGAATAATTATACGTAAATATTAAAAACTTAGAAGAAATTACCCCACTAAACTCTTTTTGTTAGTAATAAATTCCAATATTCATACAGATCAGAAATTAAAATTACTGATTAAGCATAACGAAATAATTGTTCCAGCTGATTGCTATGATAAGAAATAAACGACCTTAGATAACAAACAAAAAGACAGGAACTAAATAGATTTCCAATTATCATTTCTGACAACTTCCACTGCATTAGCTTAAGGTCACTATTATGTAGGATTCTATTGAAAGTGTTGCCGGAATTTTAGCAAAGAATAGATAAATTTAAAAGAATATTAGATAAATTAGCTGAGTGTAGTGATTAATGTCAACATTTAAGTGTGTATAAGAATTGTTTTCGTGTACAAGCACGATTTATTTCTACCATACAAATGAAAATTATGAACAAGTATAATAAAACCAGTATGAGTTGATCCATCCATATCTGGAAAACAACACATATAATCAGAAAGAAGGAAGCAAAAGAAAATATGAATAAAATAAATGAAAAAAATCACTGTTGAAAAGAGAAGAAAATATGAGAGGATTGTCCTTAACTTGAATCAGACGAAAAACATTTCACGATAAAAATGGAATACGAAGAGGGAGGCGATATAGTAACAAATTAGTGACTGAATTCACTGGGTGACTAGAAAACAAAATCGCTTAAACTATGTATGCATGGCTGAGTGTGTCCAGAATTTCTATGTTAGTTATGAAAAATCATTAGTAATGATAAAAGTCCATGCGACATGTTATCGGTCTTTATTTTCACTTATTCAACGGCTCCTCTCCTTTTTCATGATGTCTTTCTATTTGGAGGTAGATACCTTACCCATATATTTTATAGAAATCAAAATTCTACGATAAAACTACGTTACTAAATGAAAGATTTAAAATAATGCTTAGCACTTCCAACTAAATATTTTTTTCTCAATTTTTTTTACTAAAATTATCCCAATCATCTTCGTAAAGTATTGAGATAAGAGAAACCGGTTTATTTGTTGGCAATACATAATTGTGATGAAATCATTCAGATACCCACATATTTTACACAAATGGTATGTCTGAAAGACACACAAAACAAAAGGCTTATTGTGATCGAATTAAAATTGAAAGTTTCAAGTCAGAAAACATGACTAATCAAAATGACATTAAAAGGCCGCAGCAAAGATATTAATATTAAGAAGATCACTGTTAGATGAAATTTTCCCATTATTTATAAGACTTATAAAAGAGGTCAAAATAGACAAGTGATCAAATACTCGAGCTATGATCCATTTTAGATATCTTAACAAACTGTCGTCGCTTCTTCCTTAAACTTCGCCTTAGTAATTCCTTTTCTTGCAGTAATATATCTCGTATCAGTCCGCGTACTATGCTATGTATAACGTTTTCGTCCGTTTCTTCATCATGCGATGGATTCATTGCAAAACTTGATGAAACTCTGCAAATTTACGCAAAAATCAGTCATTGATTCGAGAAGAAAGATACTCTAAATCAATGAAGAATAACATACTAAAATACACAAACACTATCACACGATATCAGTGGCGGAGCATGGTTCAAATAGATTCACACTATTTACTTATTAAGATGAGCTAAATGTAGATAAGTAAAGCATGATTGCATCTTAAAACTTGATATGTGGATTAGTTTTAAAGATTTTCATCTTTCTAAGTCATCACTTACTCTCTTGTCTCCTCTGTTATTCATATCTGAGGAAGGAAACTATGCGATATGCGATATAAATGACATAAGTTTGGTAACAAAAAATCAAAATGTAATCGAAAGTAATCTTTACACAATTAAATGCTCAATATATATCCAAACCAATTACCTGGAAACAGATGACAGGGAATGAATTGCCGGTGAGATTTCACCGCTATCGCCTATGGTACCAAATGAAATCTTTCGATAGTGAATTGAATCGTCTCCACTTATCTAAAAAATGAAGAAACTGGAAACTGTGCTCTCAGATCACAGACAAATAAGTGAAGTCAATTCCATATAATCATGAAAAACAAACAAGAACTAGTGGGCTCCATAGAATTCTAATTTTATGACACACAGATCAATTAGAAAAATTGGAATCTATATCAATTAGATCTAATCTTAGCATTAAAATTACTATCTCGCCATAATAACTGCACATCGAAAAATATTTTCAAAGTGACCAAGATGTTAGCCATCAAATCATCCCCTACTCATCTTCCTACTTATCCTCTGGTTCCAATTGTCGATTATTAAAGAATTTTGAGAATTCAAAAAAAAAAAATGAATAGTAATCTTATAAAAATAAGTATAGGAAAAAAACTATATACCTCATAAACGACATAATTAATCAGATCTCGGACGACTTCCTTTATTACATCTGCATCTGCCCAATCATCCTCCACTGCAGAACAATTAGAAAAAGCCATTTCAAATTTCAATGTGACATTGTTACTGTCTC